CCGCCACAAGGCCTGGCTATTTTTTGGTTGCAGCCATCATTGTTGCTTTTGGCGGGCCCAGGCTGGATTTGAACCTGCCACCTTAGGTGTATGTGGCTGGCGCCTAAGCCACTTAAGCCACAGGCACTGAGCCCTATCTTCTTATTTTTAAAGAGAAGGTAGAAGTCAGTCAGAGAACTAGTCAAATTGCTAGTTTTTAAATGTTGCAATCTCATAAATGTTAAAAATACTTTGAAGTTCAAAAATATTAAAATACTTTGATGTGGCCTCTGGACTTCCAGTTCTGTTTGTTTTGTTTTGTTTTTTGAGACAGAGTCTCACTCTGTCACCCTGGGTAGAGTGCTGTGGTGTCATAGTTACAGCAACCTCAAACTTTTGGGCTGAAGAGATCCTCCTGCCTCAGCCTCCTGAGTAGCTGGGACTGTAAGTGCCCACCACTATGCTCAGCTTGTTTTTCCAATTTTTAGTAGATGGGGTATCCCTATGTTGCTTAGTCTAAAACTCTAGAGCTTAAGCAATCCTCCCACCTTGGCCTCCCAGAGCGCTAGGATTATAGGTGTGAGCTAGTGCACCTGGCCAGGACTTCCAGTTCCTGAACTTTTAGAGACAGGGTCTTGCTCTGTTGTCTAGGTTGGAGTGCAGTGGACCAATCATAGCTCAGTATAACCTCTAACTCCTGGTTTCAAGAGATCCTACTACCTTGGCCTCTCAGAGTGCTGGGATTACAGGTATGAGCCACATTCAGCCTCAGTTTCTGGACTTTTTTTTTCAGTATAGTGTCCAAATGCTTGAATTTAATCCTGGCTCTAGCACTTACTTACTGTGTGATTGTCAGTAAGTTACATAACCTCTCTGTGCCTTAGTTTCCTGTAAAATGGGAATAAAAACAATACTTTAGGGGGTTGTTCAATATGCTCATAAAGCCCTGAGCACAGCACACAACACATGCTATTTCTTCTCATTATTATAGTTCTAACTAGATCCTGCTTTACTTGAAGTCTCCTCTGCTCTGGGCTCTGAGTTCATGCCCTCTGCAACTTCAGTCAAGCTATTTTCCTTTTCTGGGCCTCTGTCTTGTTGCCTGAAAGGAAGACTCATATCTTGCCAAAGATGTTCTAAAATCTCTGCTCACCTTGGCAATGACTTTCCAAAAATCCAGAGCTCCCAGACACGGCCCACTCCTGGGCAGAGTAGAGGGAGAAGGTCTGGTATGTGTCTAGCTTCCTTACCTTCTAGAGCCTAAAACTCTACTCCTGCAGACATTCCCTTTGGGCCCATGCCTTTGCTGTCTCCTGGTACTCTCCTTTAGATACAAGAGTATGCTAGGGGCCAGGGGTTCATGCCTGTAATCCTAGCACTCTAGGAGGCCGAGGCAGGTGGATCGCTTGAGCTCATGAGTTCAAGACTAGCCTGAGCAAGAGTGAGATCCCATCTCTACTAAAAATGAAAAACTGAGGCAAGAGGATCTCAAAATCTCAGAGTTTGGGGTTGCTGTGATCTATGATGTCATGGTACTCTATCAAGGGTGACAAAGTGAGACTGTCTCAAAAAAAAAAAATATGCCAGGATTGGACAAGCTGTTATCAGTCATTCATACCTTAGCAGAAGCAGGTTTGAAGCTAGCTTCTCATTACCGTATTTCATGGTGTTTTTCACTCCTGGGAAATGTTTCTTGAATTGCTAAATCTATAAGAGACCCATTAGCTTCCAAGTTTCAAACACCCCCTATTCTCAAGGCACTTTCAGAATGCTTGTGTAATTTATTACTAATCCTGTCCTTGACTGCCAGGTGGATGTTTTCCTTTTTGTTTTATGATGAAGAGTCTGAGGCTCAGAGTCTGGGTGACTCACAGGTATTAGACTACAGTGCAGGCCAATCCAACCCCCATAATCCCAACAGGCTGCTTCCCTCTCAACTGGGCAAGGCCTTCTTTCTTTTGGTAGGTCCCAGCCAAGTGCCAAGGGGTCCTACGTGCTGCGGATAGGAAAGGGGTGTCTGGAGGAAGATGTGGCATTTTTTTGATTTCAGGTGATATCCCCAGCTGGGACAATGAAGAGGACAAATCAGTTTGGATTTCGAACATACTTCCAAACCCTCCTTTGCTGTCTGCTGGACCTACAGCAGCCCCCCCAGATACCAATTCAGATAAAAATAACACTAGCACATGGAAATTACGGCTATCCCTCATGGGTCTGCAGAGGGCATTATAGCTCACATCTTGTGTTCTCGTCTCCTTTTCTAATCCTCTCACAATCCCCTGTTGTACTCAATATTTTTATCACTGCACAGATGAGGAAACTGAGGCTCACACAGCTAGACAAACAATTTGGCCTCCAGCCCATTTCTGTTTTCAAAAGTGAGGTCTTCTGAGGGTCAACACTATTAAAAGCTGGAAGACAGGGTAGGGTAAAGAGTACTACGGGGTTGCTTCATTTACTTATTGAGAAAACTGAACTGGGAACTATTTCTAAGGTTGGATGGGAGGCAGGTACATGGATGAGATGACGGTTCACGCATTCCTTGTCCCTGTCTCTCAGACATCTTGGGTTTTCCTGTTTCTGCACAGGCACCTCACCCCGCAAGGTCACCTTCTATACTGGGTGCAATTCTATCTATCCATCGAGTCCAAGGACCCTCCCATCTATAGGAAGTTCCTTGACTATCCCCAAAAGGCTTTTCCTCCCTCCTCCAAGGGCCCAGAAGGCTGGCACCAGCTTGTCTTTGCCTAGGGGGTTCCTTTGTCACAAATACGAGCCTTATCTGCCCAGCTGGATTGTCAGCTCCCAAGGGGAGGCCATGTGCTTGGCATCCGGGTGAGATGCACACCCGGCATGGGCCTTGGGCCTTGCACACATAGGTGCTCTATTAGTGCTCCCTGATAAGGAGCAGGCAGGACATGTCCAATTGTGGGAGTAGGCAGGGACAGAAAGTGATGGCTCACAGCAGAGTGGCCAAGGACAAAGAGCTGCTGTTCCAAATAGCTTTTTGCCCCCTGTCCAGGTGCAACCCAAAAGGTTGGGTATAGAGGCTGGGTGGTGCCAGGCCCATCCTGGCCAGAGCTGTATGTAGTACCTGCAGTGAGAACCTGGAGCAGGGTGCATGCTTCACCTGGGAGAGGAACATACTTTGGCTGGGTCGCCTGCCCTGGTGTCTCACCTTGCCTTGCTGGGCATCCAGGGGTACCCTCAGTTAGGGAAGCTCCTGTGGCTCCTCCCACCCCCCCAGCCTTGAATAGTATCGGGTTCTCATGCTAATGGAGGGGCCAGGTTTAGGGAAGTCGGCTGACTTGCACTGGGCCTACGGCTGGGGTGTGGCTGAGGCCAAGGTTCTTCCCCACTCTTGGGGCACCAGGGTATAGTACTGGCTCAGGCAGGTGATGGGGCTGTCCTCTTTTTGAGCAGGTCTGGTGGCAGCCTTCAAGATTGCTACACCGTATTCCCTGTACGTGTGTCCTGAGGGGCAGAACGTCACCCTCACCTGCAAGCTCCTGGGCCCTGTGGCCAAAGGGCATGACGTCACCTTCTACAAGACGTGGTACCGCAGCTTGCGGGGTGAGGTGCAGGCCTGCTCGGTGCGCCAGCCCATCCGCAACCTCACGTTCCAGGACCTTCACCTGCACCATGGAGGCCATCAGACTGCCAACAGCAGCCAGGACCTGGCCCGCCGCCATGGGCTAGAGTCGGCCTCTGACCACCACGGCAACTTCTCCATCACCATGCGCAACCTGAGCCTGCTGGATGGCGGCCTCTACTGCTGCCTGGTGGTGGAGATCAGGCAGCACCACTCAGAGCACAGGGTCCACGGTGCCATGGAGTTGCAAGTGCAGACAGGTGAGGGTGTCCTGTTGTGACAGCTGGGAGTCTGTGGGGCTGCATGTCTGATGGTGTGACCACGTATAACACTGTGCTGGGTGAGGTGTGAGGCAGTATGGGTGACACTCCAGGGTGTGTGTGTGAGATGGAGTGGCCAGGGTGTGTGGAGTGTGGCTATGTGGTTAGCTGATGTGATGGAGAAGGAGAGTACACAAGACTCTGTTCGTGACAGTAGAACTTTTTATTTATTTATTTTGAGACACAGTCTTAAGCTGTCGCCCTGGGTGGAGTGCGGTGGCGTCATAGCTCATAGCCACCTCCAACTCTTGGGTTCAAGTAATCCTGTTGCCTCGGTTTTTCTATTTTTAGTAGAGACGGGGTCTCACTCTTGCTCAGGCTGGTCTTGAAGTCATGAGCTCAAGCTATCCACCTGCCTTGGCCTCCTAGAGTGCTAGGATTACAGGTGTGAACCACTGCGCCCAGCCAACAGTGGAACTTTTTAATGTGTGAGGCTGTATGTACCTGGGCTTGGCGTGTGACTGTGCTAATGATGACACCATGGCTGTGGTCGGTATGGGTGATAATTAGACTATATGCACCTTGGGGTGCAAGTCTGTGGATGGCTGAATGGCTTTCAGGGACGATGTGTATGTGTATTTGTGTGTGTGAGTCCAGGTGAGAATGCAAGAGCTGGTGGGCCAGATAGAGGTGTGGGCAGTAGCAGGCATCCACATGCCCCTGGGGGTGGCATAAGAACGGGCACGGTGAGAACATGCCGGGTGTGTGTGTGTGTGTGTTTGCGTGTGCATGTGTCCATGCACGTGTGTGCATACATGTACAGGCTCCAGCTGAGCCAGCACTGCCAAGCAGGTGCTAGCCTGAGTACCTGTGATAGGAGGGGGACACTGGCCTGGACAAGCCTCCCTGACCTCCTGGCCCTGACGCCTGCTTGACGGCCCTTCTCTTTGCTCCCACAGGCAAAGATGCACCATCCAAATGCATCGCGTACCCATCCTCCCCCCAGGAGAGTGAAAGTAAGGGAACATCCTCTTGCCCCTGCTGGGCTCTCTCCTCTCTTCTGTCCTGTCCTGGACTCAGACCCCATTCTGAACTCTGGACTCGTCATCCTCAGCCCCAGGCTCCCATTCCTCGTCTTCTGCTGCCCATTCCTTTTGTTTCCTCCTGTGGCAGACCCTGAAAGCCATCCCCCTTCCGCCTGGCTCTGGAGTCTCTGCTCCTGACGCCCTGCAGGTGTTATGCCCTGGCGGTGCCCACTGATCAGGGGAAGGTGCCGGGTGGCACATGCTGTGAGCGCCATCCTGCCCACCAGCCCTCTGCAACTGGGAAAGATCGGGGGACCACGGGAGTCTTCTTGGCTTAGGATTCAACTACTTAAAGTTTCCCTGTTGTGAAGGAGGAAGGAGGGGGGGTCATGAAGGGGAAGAGAACTTTTCCTGAGCTCCTACTGTGTGCTAGGCATTGTGCTAAGTCCTTGTAAGTATTATCATCTCCGGGAATTCTTATAAGAACTCTGTGAAGTAGCATCACATCTTCCTCTGTACTGTGAAACAGGCCCAGAGAGATGGTACAACTTGCCCAAACTAGCACACAAAATAGCACAGCTGGGATTTGGCAGCAGCCTGCTTAGCTCTGCTCACTGACTTTTTCCCAGCTTGGGTGTGGGGACAAGAGACGACTGGGCGTGCAGTGCAGCGGGGGCAGCCTGGCCCCTGCGTTGGCCCAGTGGGGTGCCATATAGGCCAAGGGGGCACTGTCTCAAGGGCACCTGCGTGCTCAGTCTTTGGGACACCACCTTCTTCTGGGAGAAGGTGTTCTTGGCCTCCACGTCCCTCTGTCCACCTAGGATGTGTCAGGCATGTGGTTTACAGCATCCTTTGCCTAGGCTCTGGAGATACATATGTGTCCAGGAGGACGTGTCAAGAACCTAAGCCAGAATGGGGACAGCTAAACTACAGCCCCAGCCAACCCCCAGCTCAAAGGCTGTAGTCACTCTTCACTCAAACTACTTTTTTTTTTTTTTTTTTTTTTTTTTGAGAAAGAGTCTCACTCTGTTGCCCTGGGTAGAGTGTGGTAGTGTCAGCTAGCTCACAGCAACCTCAAACTCTTGGGCTCAAGCCTCAGTCTCCCAATTAGCTGGACCACAGGTACCTGCCACAACACCTGGCTAGTTTTTCTATTTTTAGTAGAGGTGGTCTTGCTTTGCTCAGGCTGGTCTTGAACTCTTGAGCTCAAGCAATCCTCCCACCTCAGCCTCCCGGAGTGCTGGGATTACAGGCGTAAGCTACTGTGCTCAGCCTCAAACTACTTTTTTTTTTTGACCAACAGACTGGCCAGGAGCAAAATAAGAATATGAGATTTCATCTGAGCCACCCTCCACATGGGACTGAGAAGTCTTGGCTCAGACTCTTTTCCCTGCACACTGCGGAGCCAGTGTCGCCTCGCCCAGCTACAGCCACTGTCCTCACTTCCTTTCTGGGTGGCTCCCTGTTGAGCAGGGGAAGAGGCCTCTGAGCAGCCCCTTCCTTCCCACGCAGCAGGCTCGTGACTGTGGGCACACGTGTGTCCGTGCACAGGATGGCCAATGTGGTGTGACATTCACTTCTCCATGGCTCCTTCCACTCTGACCAACCACCTCAGTCCCACTTCTTCCTCCATGAACTCTTGCAGGGCTGCAAGGGCCTGAGAGACAATCCTCTCTGCCACCAACCCCACGTCAGAAGGTGGGGAAACCAAGGATTGGCAGGTGACAGCACTTGCTCCTGGTCTCTCAGACCCGGAGCCAAAAGGACCCATGTACACACCCTGCCTGAGCACTGTGCTGTCGTGCCCTGTCAACACCAGCTTTCTGACAATTAGGTCTAAGATACCAGTCTTGGGGACAGAGCCAAGAGATATCAGGATGATGCTAGAGAAACCAGGTGTGGCAGAGAGAGGGAATGGAGCTAGATCACTTTTCTTGATCTAGATGCTAGAGAAGCAGCTTTTGGAATTCAGAGAAGAGAAAGAATCTGGGAATCCAGGAGTCAGGCTGCTAAGAGCCCAAGGGTGATGCAGAAACCCTGAACTTGGCAGTCAAGAGTGGGTCAGGCTTCCTTTCCTAGGCATCTCTACCCTTGGGTTTTGACATAAATGTATAAGGGATGCAAAGCTTTACTCTGGCCCTTACTTCCCTGAGGCACTGTCTGCTGTGAATTGGCTGCTTGGGGACTGAAGAAACATCCTTGCTTCTGTATCAATGATTAGGGCAGGGAGATGGCTTTGATAACCTCTCAAGTTCCCTTCTAAACTCTTGGTTCTAGCAGTCTGCAGATTGAGCACTGTGGCAGATATGGTCCTGTCTGAAAAGAAACTCAGCTCTACTTCTGGGCCAGGTGTGGGGGCTTGGGACAGCACTTGCATTCTCTGGGTACAGCTTCTCCACTGAGAATAGGAGCAAGTGTGTCTCTTTCCTTCCAACAGGGAGGCATTCAATGTTATCTAAGGGGCTGAATCAGGGGTTAAGAAAACTCTGATGTCCTTGGCGCCTAAGAGCTGGTGAGTAAGACGGTAGGGAGTGGTAGGGACTGTGAAGAGCACCTAACCACCAGGCTCGGGGCACTGCCAACTGCTGTATTAGGGTTTCCAGAGTCACTAAATTTTCAAGCAAAGCCAGATTTTATGTGAACTCTATTATAAAATGTTGGCAACTAATAAAAAAATAAAAACACTGTGTGGGCCATAGTTGCAACTTGCATCCATTCTAATGATAGACCATGTGGTTACGAGCACAGATCTGAAATCAGCCAAACTGTTAACCTCTCTGTGCCCTAGTTTTCTTATATGGAAATGGAGATGATGATTATAAGTACTTCTTTTCCACAGTTGCTACGACAGTAAAATGAGATACTATATGTCAAGCACTAAGAACCACGCCTGGCATGGAGCACCTGCTGTGTTAAGTGTCGGCTGCTGTTTCTTCTGGAGAAACAATTCTAGGCTTGACTTTCCAAGTCAACTCATCCATTGCCCTGTGATAGCAAGCTGTGGCCACGGTCCTGTTTTCTAACAGTTTTAGAAACATTTGCCTATGGCCCAGGGCTGGCTGCTGGGTGTTGCTGTTGACTATTCTTACCTTTGGAAAGGCCCCAGCCCCTGCCCCCTCTGACAGGTGCCCTATAGCCAGCCATGGTCCCCAGTCAGTCTAGCGATGGTTTTAGCCAAGAACTTATTAGAGTTTTCCTTCTCATCTTCCGCCCAAGCCTCTTAATGTTATCCTTGGGAAGCTGGAGAGTAACCAGACTATGAAATAACATGGAAGTCCAAGTCAGCCTGAGGTGGGGGTAGATAACGAGGGATGAGACTGGGGAGGGTGGTGCTCAAAAAGCTGCTACATTGCTGAGGAGCTGTGGTTTTTCAGTGAGTCCAGGGAAGGGGGCCAGGCAGCTCATCTCCCCAAGAGACGAGCTGTCTACTCTCACCCAGCCTTGTCCCTGGGAAAGCAGAGAGCCCCACCCTTAGCAGCTGAGCTCCCTCCTCCGCATATACCCACGGGGTACCTGGCTGAGTAGTCCAGGCCCCTCTACCCCTCCCTGCTCTGTAAGGGCCTGGCATAGTCCTCGGCTGCTTCTGCCAGCACCTGATCACCTTCCCAGGATAAGCCTGGCTTTGGACGGTGACCAAGCTACCTCCCCAGTGGGTGTCAGCCCAGGCACTGGCCATGTTTGGGGAAACAGATATTGCCCACAATAAGGCCCTTTGATGGGAGTTTGGAAATAAATACCGAAACGTCTGAGTTACAAATGTCTTTACCTTCAATACTCCACATCAGAACACAGCCTTGCTAAGATCTGCAGGGGACCTGCTGTGAAGTGGAGCAGAACTCGATATGTAATTAGCATAGCAACTGTTCCTGTACCAGTAGGTAGTTCTGAAATGCCTGAAAACAGTTTATTCTCTTCTGCAGTGTGAACAAACCCCCTAAAAGCTTGTTTACACCATCAGGTTGTAAAGCAATACAAAAACGCCCTTTATTCCCAAATACATAGTGCACAGGCAACGTTTAGGCCACAGCCCATCCATCTCCCAAAGTTCTCTGGGGCAAAGTTACCACTGTGACGAGGTATCCCAGCCACCTTCTGGCCCAGGGAAGGGGTAAAACTGGGAAGGAAATGCACGTATGCTGGCTGTGGTTCTGAGGGCACGTCTGTTCCCAGCCAGACTTCTGCAGTCAGCAGATGGACTAAAATAAATCAAACCTCCCCATGCTGCTGGGATTATGAAGCTGTACAACTTTTTGGAGGGCAATTTAGCAATAGCCTAAAAGAAAACACACAATTTTTGGCTCAGAACTTTGAGCGCGAATTTACCTACGGATGTACTTGCCTGGGTGAATAAAGATGTGTGTACAAGGAGTTTGTTGCTGCATTATGAGTGACATTGAAAACGGAAGCAAACGACATGTCTACCAAAAGCGTTCGGCTTCAATAAATTTGGGGTGAGCTGTGTGATAAAACACTAAGTGGAGTGAGGCAGGCCCCTGTGTGGATGTAGAAAGATGTCTAGGCTCAGCGCCTGTAGCTCAAG